GAAGTGCAGTCATGTGCAATCAGGTGGAATAAGTGTGCTGATAATTTTCCTTCAGAAATTGTAACGGTTAGTGATGTGGACACTTTTCTTTTTAGGCAGGAACCATGAGGCACTGAAGCAAGCATTCACTTTTCTTGCACTTGAGGTCACAAATTTATGCAAGTCAAAAATGTTGGGCCTGCCAAAAACATCATGCTACACTCCACCAAATAAAAGGACACTGTTATTCTTACAAGGAAAGGTTTGACAGGACAGGAAATAGGCAGGGTCATAGGAGTTTACTTAATACCAAAACTTATTTAACCATCTTTAAGCCAAAATACAATGATAGTTATGAATTAAAAAAAAAATTAGGAGGAGGGGGGAGGGAGGAAGTGAAGACAAACACAAGAGCACAGGACTGCACTGTTAGAAGAGTAGCAACCGATGCAGAAACAAGGGAACCGTAATTAAAAAATCATATAATCCACGTTACTGTATGTCACCTGCCCCTAGTGGGTTAACACGAATTAACTAGGTTTTAATCTCCATGCTGAACTCGCAAGCAAGAGGCATCTGATTTGAAGAATGCAATGCAGGGTTTACCGAGCTATATGCTACTTGCATTACAAGGCAACCCTTGGCTCCCTCTTAAAGGAACGGAGGAAGGGGGAGTAAGAAAAAAGTGAATATGAAAGATAGGAAAAATGTTGCTGTTCATTACAATTTTCCATTTTTGTTGAAACGCAGCAGGAGAGCAAAGCCACAGGCTTCTCTGCTGCTCTTGCATGCCAGGAGGGATTATGCAAACACTGCAACCACCCAAATCTTATTTAAATTATAGTCATTGTTCCCCCTTTAATGGTTATACTTTTGCCTGCTTTCACTCAAATATTGCTGCATCTTGCTTTCCGCCAACACAGTCCCAAAGGGAGTCATCAACTCTTAATTATAGCTGAACGCAGATTTGAAAAAATACCTCATCAAAAAATGTGGGAAAGAAAGCAAACCTTAAGTGCCATCTAGTGGCCGCTCTACAAATCGACGTTAAATCCCCAAAATTCTTAACATGCCGGAGTACTGTAACTGCAGCTGAAGTGAGGAAGCAGTGCTTACATTCACAGCCACCAAAATACCCTGGGGGACCAGTCAAAGGACTGAAGAGCAATGGTATCATTACCATAACTGCTCTAGCAAGACTTTTCTCTGCAAGTGGAGAGTTCGAATGGTAGGAGTTGTCTAGTGATCACCTGCTCCCGTGGATTTCAGTCCAAATCGGAAAATAGAACCCTCTCGGATCTCTAAGTAGAACCCAAACCATGGGAGTGAAGCCGGAGCCAAGCATCTGAGTGCGGAAGGTCGCGTTCTCCTCCAAATTCAGCTGGGGTTGAAGGCCAGACTTTATGTGCAACAAGTCCAATCCTTTTCTAAAAGAGAGGAGGCAGATTGTTCATAATGTCCTTTCCCTGCAGGAAAAAAGCCATTTTCTGCTATAGATGAGAATTCCCAACATGCTATTTTCCATTATAAAGCTTCACGTTCCATTTACATGGAGGATGTTCCACAAGATCATTCCGCACGCTTTATGTAACTCCTCTTGGAGATACTGTGTCCCTTCTACGAGAGTCGTGGAGTCTGAACTTAACTAGCTGCATCCGAACCCATGCAGTGATAATGCAGAGCAGCCCAACACTGTCTTTATGCACGGTAATCAACACTTCATTTTTTTTGGCAAAAACAGCATCATACTTTGGACTTGCTTTGGAGCTTTACATCTCTTCAGCTTCACACCCACAGTGAACCCTGGGGGGGGTCAACCAGTGACGGGTCCTGGAGGCATTAATCTGTCTATCTGGAAGTAAGACCTATGCGTGTTAGTGTCCTGCTCCTCACAAGGTTACTCGCTCGAGCACGTTGTTCAGCCAATGACACGCTCGGCCAGTTTGTCACTGAATTACAAACATCCTTGACAATTTAGGCAGAAGGATAGATCTCGGGTAAAGTAATGAACAAGATCAACGTGTTTCCCAGCCCTCACTTTCTCTTGCTAATACAAACATTTTTAACCTGATTTTTGTTTAGAACAGCATGAAATGTGCTAATTAAAGCTTAAAATGTACCATTATAAAGAGGGAACTTAGACCTGCACTTCTTCAGCAAGGTTTAATCTTCTTCCCCTTGCCTATAGGGGGAGGGTGAGTTGCCCAAGTAAGAGCCAGGGGAAGTTAAAAACGCGCTTCTGCAACAGACGGTTCCATGCCTCCTGCGTTCGTTTGCCAGAGACCAAGATACAATACTTCCGTAGCACATGGAACATGAATGGGAAGAGGGAACAGGAAAATAATGTGGGAGGTACTGCTTTTCATGTTAATGACTCTCCTCAAAAACAAAAGCATTTAAGATGTAGACAGCATGGTTTAAACCAAAAGTAGCGAATCCTGCTGTAGGAACCCTCTACTCACTACCAATACGCAAAGGTTTCGGTCAGGCCTTGGTCTGCAGCCCTAAGTACCAACTGAAAAACTTTCAGTACCTTGCTACGTAACTCTTGTTGCCTGGTTAGGAGTATCTGTCTTTATCTATAGGTTTGCTACTCGTTTTGAAGCAAAATCCCAACGCTGAAAGGAATTAGCAGAATTTGTTACCCTAGGGCAATGTGCAGGGAAGAGTTCAGCCTCGAGGAGAGCTTCCGAACGCTTGTTTCAGATGGACTTTTCCAAGGTCCTGCTGGGGAGAGCCTTCCAGCAATCTCACACTCGTTACGTTCTTCTCTAGGTAAGTACTGCAAAACGATGAAAAAGAACGCAACTATACCCATTTTCAGAACAAGCGGGTCCTTTTCGGTACTGACAACTTGGAGAACGGTCTGTATGTTGACAACTTCCAGCAGGCTTGGCTTTGTAAAGTTCTCCTGCTTCTCATGTGTCTGATGTGGCTTCCCAGAGTGCTTTTCCTAGCAAACACGCCTCCTCCTTATCTCCCAATCTGGAGTATTGGTATTACTTTCAAAAACGGAAGTTAGATCAGTTTCCAGCAGGTACAGCAAACAGTAAGTATCATAAAAACGTACACTTCCTGGCAGGTTGCAGCTCCACGCAGCATCACCTTGTAGCACCCTTTACAAAGGACTTGCATCAGTGCATCCCCTGCTGGTTTTTTGCTTCGGGGGTGGAAAGAAAAGAGGAGCAGGACAAGTTGCTTTCAACTTACAGTCCAGCAAGAGGAAACAGATTTATCCAAAAGGATCATAGTTATTTCAAGACCTTTAAATAGCCTTTGGAAATGAGAGTTCCTTTTTGGCAGGTTACAGAATGGAAGAAATGCCGTGTCGAGATCAGCTTTTCCAATGCACTGAAAACGTCACCGGTATGATGTGCTTCCAACAGGCTTTTTGCAGGGTAAGCCTGCTCACGACCTCTGGGTATACAGGTACAAGTACAGCGTTGGGGTAAGGGTGTAGGGAGGGTAAGACTTCCACCCTCGTTAAAGACGAACGTACTTACTGCTTCAGCCCTGCCCAGTCAATGTAATGACCAGTCTACGGTTGAAGACATGTGAATGCTGCCATATTACGCTTTTTCAGCTCCCCAGAGAAGGAGGGGTAAAAATGTATAAAACGTGCAATACTCTGGGCATACTTCACTGGAAATGGCTAGTCCTAGACAAGGATGTCAAACTAATCTCAACAGGACTGTTATGATGTGAGACTACCAAGGAAAACAATGTTGTGAACATCTTGGTCTGCAAAAGGGCCTACCTTTCCACTGCTGAAACGCTACTTACAGCGCAGTACTTGACACCTGTGTCCTCTCACCAAGGAAATCGGAACATGATGAAGAATTAAGAACACAGCTGCAGGAAAAAAAAGTTTGGGAGTCTCACAGCCTTTTCTAATTCTTTTCTGTAAAGTGGCAAAATACTTAAGCTGCTTTTCTTTTTGTGTCTTCTCATTTGTGCATGTTCTTTCATCTGAGAGATTTTGAGTCATTTAAAAGATTCACACTCTTAAAGATCGAAACAATCAGGTTCAGGACAGATTCTGAGTTCTATGTTAACTGGTCAAAATAGAACTGAAAGGAACAATTTGTGCACTGATTTGATAACTCATAGAATCACAGACTGGTTTGGGTTGGAAGGGACCTTAAAGCCCATCCAGTTCCAACCCCCCTGCCATGGGCAGGGACACCTTCCACTAGACCAGGTTGCTCCAAGCCTCATCCAGCCTGGCCTTGGACACTTCCAGGGATGGGGCATCCACAGCTTCTCTGGGCAACCTGTTCCAGTGCCTCCCCACCCACACAGGAAAGAATTTCTTCCTTACATCCAGTCTAAACCTCCCCACTTTCAGTTCAAAGCCATTACCCCTTGGCCTATTCAGAATCTTTCTTCCATATGGTAACTTATTAAGGAATTTGTCAACAAATATTTCACCATATTTTGTAGCTTTTTTTTACAATATAGAAGTTATTTCCAGATGAGTGAGTTAGCTCAAACACTGTACGGTCTGCTCTTCTAAAACAGAGCTGGAAAACTAGCTGTTAGAGGATCAGCTAAGGATCAAAGAACTTCAGCTTTGCACAGAAACACAAGTATTTTGACAGGTTGTAGAAAATGCAGTAGTAATGCAGCCTTATTCTGATGTAGGGGTCAGAGTGGGAACTCATATCAATACCTGTGTTATCACTCATTCTGTGTGCAGTAGGCTCTCAGCATGAAATACCAAGCTACACGGAAGAGGGTTTTCAGGAGTTTAACACAAACTGGCAAGGGAACAATCAGCCGTTTTAGTTTAGGCGAATAAAATAAAAATCAAATCATTAAGTTATTAATTTATTAGAGTATAATCAGCACATAAACAATGAGTTCTATTTACTGAGGACTGAACATTCAAAAATAAAAAATAAACCATCAACTAGTCTACCCAGTCATGCACGTTTCCCCGTAACGCAGACGAATTCACTGCCTGTAAAAATAGACAAGAAGACAGTCTGAATAAAACGCAATACTCTTTTTTTACGTACTCCAAAATCCCACTTCTAATTCTAAGGAAAGTTTAGAAATAGCATTAAAAAAAAAAAAAAACCACCAAGAGAAAGCATATTCAAATAATTTTCAGTTCTTTCCAGTAGAACCGAAGCCACCTTCGCCACGTTCTGTATCATCTAGAGCCTGAAAGACATCAATTATGGTAAGTTGGTTTAGTGTCTTAACTTGCCTTTTGTTTCTGTGTAACAGATACTGTCTGTCCTAGAGGATGGTACATTTACCTACAACCATAGCTATAACTGAGAAACTAAACCAAAACATTTTTGAGACTTTTAAAAATGCCTTTTGTACAGGTTGAAACAAATCCCACGTGGCAAGATAAGCATTTGTAGTATATACTGTGTTTCCCAACTACCCGTTAACTCTGAAAACTGCAAAAAAACCCCAAATGCATTGAGCCTTTTATTCGTGTAGCAATGCTACCACATGGTTTTAACACTGAAAGTGGTTTGAAAGCAAAGTTATTTCTCTATACCATAAATTTCAGCTTATATATAACTATCTTAAACTATTAATTATTGAAAAGAGCAGAAATATTTTCTTTTGGCAACTTACTTGAACTTCTTCTAGCTCAGGATAGCAAATGCGTTCACAGATAAGCTGGGCAATCCTATCCCCTTTTTTAACTGCAACAAAGTCACAATAGTATTAGTTAGTATTGATTAAAATATTATCAGTTCCTTCCAAAAAAGTGAAAAAAGCCTCGACAATCCCCTTTCAAGAGTACCAGAATGGACTGAAGCGTGAGTGCTTATGTGAAAGCAGATGTTAACAGCCCCAGAAAAATACAGGTTAAGATAAACTTGTGCTCAGTCCTTTCAAGGTGACGTTTCAGCAGCACCAGCTCAGGGCATTAAAAAAAACTAAGTGAGCTGCCACTAAGTGTCGTCATGCATAAATCCTGCAGAGGCGGAGAGCGAGCTGTACACCTAACGTGGCTCCTTGTGTGAGCTGGGCTCAGGGACTGATTGCTCTGGGCGGGGGGAAACCTGAAGCAATAGAAGGAAACCAAACCTTCCCATCAGTGACCAGTCTGGTTCACAGAACTGCTGTAAGCAGCTCGTCATGTGAAGTTGCAGAAAAGGCTGCAAAAACACCACCAGTATCACAACTGGCCCCTGAGGCTTAAATCTGACTGTTCGCAGAGCGGACAGCGTGATTAAGGGGAAGCGGTATGTTTATTACCCATGTTTCCCAGGATCCTGGAGAAGTTTTTATCTCAAATACAGCTCAGCTAAATCTTTGCAGAGCAAGAAAGAAATTTAATGACAAGTTGTGCTTCGGTACAGCTCATGGATCTAAAGCTTAGCTACGTAGGTTTTTCGTTTGCTTTGGTTTTGTGGTGGTGGCGTATTTTGGGGCGCTTTTCTCTGCACGTTGCCTAACTTGCTAGGAGTGGAATCTCCTAGAGTTTCCTTGACCAGGCATTGTTAAGTTTCATTGTTTTGGTTAATCGTAAGAACAATGTTCTTAGCTAATTCTAACTCTTCATTCGTAGACTTTTACATAAAAATTGAGTTTCTCATTTCCAGTCAGATGGCTGAAAACAGGCTCTGCCAAGCATAACGCTTACCTTCAAATGTCTCCTTGCCAAAGTTGAAGAGTACCACACCAACATTTCCCCTGTAATCCTCATCAATAACACCAGCTGTCATAAGAGAATTAAGAGGGATATCCAGTCAATAAATGTTGTCAGGATATTAGATAAGTAGATTAGATAAGGTTTAGATTAGTAGATGATTGCAGTATCTCCACATCCTTTCTATTACCCACGCACAATTACACCACAGATATAAAAATACTGGAATATCTAAAAATGCTAAACAACCTTGCAAGAAAAACTGAAAAAACACCATCACACATCAAGAAGGGTTTTGCCACTGTACTACTAATTTTAGTTGCAATACCCAATACGAAATCAAGACAGCTGTAGCAAATTCAAGCTCCATTTGTTCTGCTAACTTCAGCTCTTTGACTGTCAAGCAGAAATCTGTTCTTAACTCAAAACATTTTATTTGAGAGCTCTGGATTTGCACAGATCCAAATCCTGTGTCTCAGGCAGGGTAACGGAACTAAAGCTTTAAGGAACTGATTGTCATTCAGCTACATTCAAGTGTAAATGCTGTAAAACAAGCTTGCTCTTATACTTTACATAACTGTATTAACTACAGAGTTCAGGAGATTATCTACCAATACACATTAAATGATCATACGCTGCTGCTTTGGGATTTTTCTCTCAGATACAGGAAGCATATTACCAGTAAAAAAACACACCAGAGTTTGGGCTTCCTTGTGCACCAATGTATGTATTTTAAAGTCTATTTGCAGATACAGTTCAAATAATAAAATAACATGTCATTCCAAGACTCTGTATATACAAAGTGCTACCTTTAGGGATTATAAACACCAGAGAAGATTGTAGTATGACTATACTTTGAAGTTTTAATGTTGAACCACAACATACACTATTTAGGAAAGAAAACTAAGCGGGTTTTTCTCAGTTTCTTCAGCTGTGTGAAAGTAATGCAGTACACATGGTACACTGTTACTGGACAATCTCTGCAGTAGTACTACAGTGAAAAAGGTATTTAGACAGC